TAAATAGCTTTCATAATTGCACCATTTAAAAAAAAAAAGAAAAAAGTTTGCTATATTCTTCCTGTCTCTTTGCATTACGGTGCATTTCTACAATGTTAGCATGATATGGCATCTCCTTTCAACGCTGCTTGACTTTATGTTGTGTACTATTTTTATGAATTATCTTTGATTCAGTGAGTCATGACTTCATGGGTAAATCCGGGGAAGTTGGGCACCGGGTCACGACTCGGTCACTGACAGCCACCGGAATTCCCCAAAAATGCTTGGACAGCCCTCCCTCTGCCTAGTTTCATTTTCTCATATCGTTGACTGTCTTACAATAACGCGGCTGGAAACCCCAGCAGTCCTCCGAGCCTTATAAAGCTCTGCCTCTCTGAATGAGAAACTAAAAACTGTCTAGGCTAACTATTTAATTCGTTACGGCTTTTACTTTCAATTTCACTCGCACTCTCTCGGTCTTTTGGACTTCACCCTTTTTTATTACCGGACACCTCATCTAGCGGAAATAATGTTTTTCTGTTACATATTTGTGGTGGTTTCTTTGATTAACTTTCTGCCGGACTTCCACGTTTCCAGTTGTGGTAAGTTTTTCAAATGTGTGCTTTTATAAATATGTTATTGTCGGTTAATCTCACTTAACACCTTGCTTGTGTGGTCATTTATTCTTTAATGATTCCTATGATGTTTTAATGTTTGTCAAGCACTTTGTGACTATGTCTGTGAAAAGCGCTTTATAAATACATTTGACTTACTTACTTACTTCCAATGCAGTGACGTGCGGTGAGCTTCATGGCAGGTGAGGCACTGACTCTTTCAGAGTCAGATTTACAAATATTTTATTTTGACCTTAATCAAAATATTCAGTTATTTTCAAAAGCTTTTTTAGTCTGATGCATTTTAAACAGACCGTTCAACAAAAGGATACCCAAAATCTAAATATTGGATTGTTCTTTCTTAGTAAGATCCCATTTTCATTACAATTGTGGTCTTACCTTGACTTGAAGATTAAGTCCATGCTATCCTTCTGGACAACAATCTCTATTAGTTTTTGTAAAAGTCCTCTTTATCTTCCTGTAGTTTCAAAAGTTTAGTTTGTTGTTTGTGTCTACCGTCTCTCTATCACATCCATGCCGTCTCTGCGTAGAATAACAGTAGCAACAAGAACCTTTGGGCTCATGTGCGCCCCTTCAGTGCGGTAGAGGTTATGNAGTGGAGAGTGTATTCTAACACATGTGACATGAGAACGGAAGTTCATTGTTACTGTTTTGGTATTTGGCCTGCCTTTTTATATTCTCTGTTCCTTTTTTCCTCTACCCTTCTCTCCACAGCCAACAACCGCATACTCATCGTATGTCTGGTGGTAGCCGCTGTTCTTCTGGCTGTCATTGTGGGAGTGGCTATATTTATCAGTTACCATAGATACTATAAAGAGGGAGTGTACAACCTGCTGTGGGATCGTATCCATTTACACACAACACACAGTTCTATTCCCACTGCTGAGTAAGTCTGCTGGAGACCATGGTTGCAGTCGAATAGTCCAAAAATCAGCTTCTATCGTCATTTCCTATCCCTTATTCCTTGACCTCTGTGTGAAACGTCACGGGGTTAAGGGATAGTGGAAAAGAGACTGCGGTGCTTTGAGAATCCGACTGCACTTTCACTATCCGACGTATTTATGATGCGCCATGCGGACGTCATGAATGTGCGTCTGCTGCTGTGGGGAAACTACAGTTTTCTATACAGCGGACTACAACATGGATGTAGAATAAGAACGACGGACTACTGTATTTTATGAATGTGGACAACAGAGAAACATATTTTTCATGAACAAGGTTGGAATTGTAATAAAAAAGTGAGGTGAAACTTATGCTTGTCACCCTCACGAGGGGTCCACACGTGTTAATCCACATGAATCCCAATACGTATGATTGTATGAAAAGATCTTAAAATAAATACAAATGTATTTATTATAAACGTTAGTCCTTAACATCTATCACTGTGTATATCACGATTAAAACATCTTAAAAAAGTTTAAGAAACCCCACACAGCTCAGTAAACACTATGAAATGTTGACTTTATTTTCAGTAAAAACTAACATTCATATTTCTCCTTTTGATTATAATACTGTTGAACGTTCAAAACAAAGCACTTTGGCAACTTACCACATAAGTTATAAAATGTTTAATAAGTACCGTAACTTTCATGATTTCTCGATCATAATCGGTTGTTTACGTGAACGGCCGAATGTTGTATCACGGTAAATGTTGGGGCCGCAAGGCATTGTGGGGCAGCATTTTCTCCTCTACCTTCGTAAAGGAAGGTCCAGTGTTTCCTAAGCTAAAGGAGGTTAAAGGAAGTTTCAGAGCTCCTTTCCTATCATCTAGAGAATCCGAGCAGCTCTTATCATGGCTGCCACTGAAGTACTTCCGGGTCATTTCACTCCGTTAGGAAGGTTCCTAAGCTAAACTGACAATTCGACCGCAACCCATGAAAAAATTGTAAAAATGTCAAAACAACAAAAGGGGTTTTAAGTCCAATTTGGAATTTTCCACGTCTAAATGGCATCAGTTGTCATCAGGATATGTTATGTCCTTACTTCACCTCCTAATTGCAAAGTAGGAAATGATCGTCTATTTCTATGCTGGATTTCTGCAGGGAGGTTTTAAATTGTTAGGCGGCGACCACTTGTAGCTGCAGTATTTAAGATTAGATTAGATTAGATTAGAAAACCTTATTGTCAATTACATTGAATTAAATGGACATCTGCCTTTTGAATATTTGCAACACAGGGTAAAACCGACAATGCCAATCCATACAATCCAGTAAAGTGCAGCTAAAATACAGAAAATATGTTAAATATTTCACAGTGGTGATGCTCATATGCTTTGTGTGTGTGTGTGTGTGTGTGTGTGTGTGTGTGTGTGTGTGTGTGTGTGTGTGTGTGT